TCTCTCTCTCTCTCTCTCTCTCTCTCTCTCTCTCTCTCTCTCTATCTCTCTCTCTAAGCACATTTAGTATGCTCTCTATCTGTGACACTTTCTTCCCCTCTCTCTCTCTCTTCCCTTCTTAATCGTGCACCTGGAATCCTGTTTGTCACTCCCTTTATCTCTTTCTGCGTCTTCTTCAGCATCTCATAAATTATATATGTTTTATGCACACTTTTGCCATTTACATACCCTTTTCAAGTCATAAGTTCAAGGGTATAATAACTCATGTAGCTCACAGCTTTAAGTGTAGGTTCTAAAACATAATTAAGACCATGGTTGAGACCCGCAGACCCAGCACACACACACATACACATGCAGAGAGTTGACTCTTTTGCAGCTTATTACCAGCTCATGTGCTTTTTGGCTAGCCAAAAATGTTCAATAAACTATCAACAGCTGTCACTAGTTGCCGTTGCTGTTGCTGTTGCTGTTGTCGATTGCTGCTGCTGCTGCTGTTGCTGCTTGGGCCTTTAAGCCTGGCCCCAAACAAACTATTATGTCTTTTGGGTAGCTTGACTCCGGCCGTTTGTCGGTTGACTTGTTGCCATTAAGTTAAATGACATAAGCATAAAGATTTACGCCGCTGAAAACGGCCAGAAATCAAACGCTGTCAGCCAAAGTGTCAAATTTGTAATGAGCCACAGCAATGGCAACAGCAATTCAAACCTGGCAGAGAACTCGCTCTGCTGCCACGCCCGTTTTCTTGGCGTTACGTATGAGTATGAGTGTGTGTGTGTGTGTGTGCGCTTGTGGTTTTTGTTTGAAATCGCTTTTGATTAAAGAAGTTGTCAACCCATAGCCAACAAAAGCCGTTTGATAATTGCGCGTGGGCGCCCCCTCTTCAGTTGCCTGTTTTCGTATTCCAAGTATTATTAAATACATACAGCTACATCTCGATCGCATTTATTGCTCGAGCTCGAGCAATTTGCATAGTGCTCTGGCTCCGTAGCTGAGGTCGGGGCTGGGCCAGGCCGGAGCAGGCCAGCCTTGAGCAGTGCTTGAGACTCGTGTATTATTGTAAACTCTTTAAAGTCTCTTATTAAAGGCACAAAGGCAGCTGCTGCGGCAACGACCTTGCCAAGCCATAGAAAAGTTTCGATTTTGAATTGCACACACACACACACAGACACACATTCACACTCACACACACACGCACACAGAGAGAGAGTCTATTGTGACACAGCAATTGCTTAAACAAATTGCAGCGCTATAATTAATAATTTCTCTTTAAATTCGGTACTCTCGCGGAAAAGTGGGCGTAGTTGTTGCCCACGCGCAAAAGAAATATTATGCTTGAAAAAACAAAAAACCCGGGAAGCAATTATCTTGATGTCGTCAAAAGCCATCGGCATCAGGCATCAAGCCATCAAGCTATCATCAGCATCGTTCACAGCATCGTGAATGCACTTCCACTTAATGAGAGGCAACGCATACACACATACACACATATACACACTGTTACACACACTCTCGTACACACACACACACTTCGCTAGTTGAGCAGAAAAATATAAAAAAAAAACTTTCATTTGTTTCGCTTACTCAACATAATGAAAAACTGCGATAAACCAAACAATGCAACAAAAAATCGACAACGTTTGAGATTGAACGAATATTGAATACTTTATAGAAAATTAATATGATATAGTATGTCATTTTCTTGTGTGTTCTATGAGGAGAAGTTTGAATATGTAAGCTGCTAGCTGTGATGGTAAGAGATAAATAGAGGAGAGAGAATACATAATTGGTGAATTATGAAGTCTGAGATTGTATGATTTCACATCTTTAAGGATTTCGAATGAAGTCAGTTAGATAGAAGATAATACATATGGTATATATAATTATATAGATGACACTATTAGGCTGTGTTATCTATATAACAATTTAAATGATATTAAATACTGAGTATTTTAAATACTAAATATATATACATACATATATGCTACTTTCTGTGAAATACTAAATAAAAATACTGAAATATACTCAATATTAAATACGTATAAAATACTGGCATATTTAGTATGAATGAATAAAATACTAAATATGATATAATCAACCCTAAATACCAGGCAGCATAACAAATATAAATTTTATACCACAAAATTAAGAAATAGGAATTATTTATTGAATTATAAATTATATATAAATGCTTTGAAGTCATAGGCAATTTTCTGCATTAAAAAAAAAACTACATGAAGAATATTTTAAAAAAATAATAAATCGCAAAGACTACCCTATATATACTAAAATTATTTGAATATAAAATCATATATTCATATTAGGTTGCGAGCTTAAATACCTAGATAGTTTAAATGCCTACCCATAGGCCTAATATTGAAGTGTTTCAAAGACTTCAACGCCCATCTAGCCCACCTACCCTGCCCATTTCATTGCATATCCCGTTAGGGTATTTGAAGTACTTAATATGTATAGCGTGTGTATATTATATATGTATGTATATATATATGTACATATGGGTTGTGCCTGATTTTGCGCTTGTTAAACGCGCGTGGGCCGTGTGCGGCAGCTATTGATGCCCGGCTCAGCTTCCTCTTCTTCACCCACCACGCGCCCTTTCTTGCGCCCGGCTAAGAGCTTTGCGTAGGCGTCAGTCGAGCGCCTGAATTGCATTTGTGATTAGCTGGCATTGATAAGCGCGTCAGCCTGAGCCGTGCCCAGCCGTGCTGTGATCCATCTGATCTATCATATGCAAGTGGGCTGGATTTAATGCTTCGCTTTGATTTCCGCTTTGCGTTAGACATTTACCAGCTGCAATTGCAGCAGCAGCAGCAGCAGCAGCAGCAGCAACAGCAACAGCAGCAATCGCAGGAGCAGCTTTTGGGCCAATGATGAAGACAAATGTCAAGTGCGCGACATTTTCACTGTCAATTAGCGCCTAGGCTGAGGCTAAATTGCAGCTGCTGTTGTTGTTGTTGTTGCTGTTGTTCTTGTTGCAGTTGTTGCTGATGTTGCTGACAGTTAAATAACGCAAACGTGCCGAGTTGCAATTGCTTGTTGCTGCTGCAGCCGCTGCTGCTGCTGCTGCTGCTGCTGTTGTTGTTGTTATTGTGCCGCCAAGCACGTAACTCAATAACGCGCACATTTTAACAGCAACAGCAACAACAGCAACAAGAACAACAACAATTAAGCTAACAATGTACCACACACAAGTAAAAGTTGTTGTTAGTGTCGACTCGACTCGACTCGACATAATGAAAATCTGCTCGCTTGCCCTGCATGCCACATCCATGCAAGCTCCCCACCCCTGTTCTCCCTGCCCCACTGCTGCTGCTGCTGCTGTGCAACAAAGTGCAAATGCTTTGCGCTAACCTCTCTCCCCGCCTTCCGCAACCCCCTCGGGGGGGAAATTGTCTAATGAAAAGCTGCTGTCGACACAAACGAAGCGTAGCCCGAGCCTGAAGTGTAAAAAAAAGTAAAAAAAAATATATTTATATATATAAAGAAAAAGGAAAAAAAAAATTGCATTGCAGGTTAGAAGGCAATGCGGGAATTGTGCTAAGGCGAGCGGTGGCAAAGGCAGGGGGAGGCGTGGCAATAAAGCGCCATCGATTAAGCCTTAAATACTTAAAGGCTGCTGCATGAGAGCGAAGTGCAGCCGCTGCAGCTGCAACAATTGTTGTTGCGGCGCCAGCAATATGTTGTGATGAAAGGCTTTCATCGCGCACAGGCAGCAGCTAAATATATGAGCTAATCAATACCCTAGATGGGTTACCAAAAAGACAGAAATATGCCGAAAATGTAGGCAAAGAAGTTGCACAAATTCCATTTAAGATTTTGGTCAAATATTTGCTAAGCTTTTGCTAACCTCTCCCTCGCACCTTTTGTATATATGTATATTTAACTCATCATATTATGCTCACTCAATTACAGGGTATTAGGAGAAAGCATTTGTTGTTTGTTCTTGTAATTCTTTCATTTTTTTTTTTTTGTTGTTGCCATTTTCTTCAAACACATTGCTGATGGCTTCATTATGACAGCTTAAATTATTGGTGTAGCTGCTGTTGCTGCTACCAATAATAATAATAATAATAATGATGATGATGATAATGATGTTGTTGCTGTTACTGATCGTAATGATGATGATGGGGCAACGTTTTAACTTCTTTTTTTTTTTGCTGGTTAACTGAAACCAAGCAGAAGGCCGCCACAAGCCCAAAATGAAAACGCTTAATGGCCTGTTTGGCTGGCAGCTGCCAAGTGTTAATTATATGGTCAGCAGCTCAATTGCAGCTCCAATTGCTGCTGCGCCCAAAAAAAATAAAATGAGCCAGAAAAAACCGTACAAAAAAAGAACAGCTATCTACGGTGCTTTATTTGCATGCAAGGCCTTGCCACGCCTGCCACAGTCACTGCCCGTTGCTCAGACTCTCTCTCCCTGCCGCTGCCTCTGCCCCTGAGTGGGTCGTT